TCAGTCAAGATGCCAAGACTGTGTGTTGAACGCGTTCACCTCAATGATGGAGTCGTCTGGACTTACTTTCCGGCCCTATGGCTCGGAGCTCCGACTGCGAAAGAGCTCTTTACAATTCATCGCAACAAATAAAGCTCTTGCCTCGAAAGCGTGACTTTTGCTAGCTTCGGAAGTCAACTGAAGGAAGGTTGCGGCCCCATCTCATGGACTCTCTCTAGCGACATCCCAATTGGCAATAAACAATACTCTGAATTCTCGCACACACGTGGTAGATTTCGTACTGGGCAGAGTTCATGCACGACCAGTAGACGTGCCGCAAAGTATGCATCGAAGAAGGCGGGATCATTCGCTAGTCTGGCCGCCAACCTCCATTCCAAACAGAGTTTGCCGAGTCTCGAGTTCACCGGCGGGGTGATCGGCTGACATGGGTCAACCCAGAATCTGGCGGAAAGCTAGCCAAAAGATGCCCATTCTGGTCAGCAGTGAGCAGCGAGAACGAGGCCGAAAGCAACCAAATAAGCCCACCCTCGATTGTTAAGTCCGCCTGCCTCAGCATCCCGCCGGGCCTCCATCTTCTCCATCTTCCGCGCTGCCGCTCGCCCCGCGGCATGTGGAGGGTAGTCTATTAAACTTCCCCCTCAAACGTGATTCGGCCGGCCACGGACTTCTCCTGCAGTAGCGTGGTCTGAAGGCCCTCGCAAATAGTGTTATATCCATCTCCATCAAATTGTTTTAGCCATGTTGGAGATTCATCAAGAAGCTTAAGCCTTCGGGACGCTCATTCCACAGCATATCTGACGAAAGGTTGACCTGGTGAACTACTGCAGGCCACCTGCGTTAGTAATTGTCTTGGCGGCCTGGTCTCATCATCTGAACGTAGTGAGAATTCGGGTAAATCTACCTTCCGGATGCTCACCATCCCATCATGCAGTCGCCAAGAGGTCCTATCGCCAACGTCGCCGGTGTAACGTCCAAGAAGCTGTTCGCCGATCAGCACTTGGCTTTCTTGGTACTCCGCATAAGGCGTCAATCCCAGTGCCCATCATCATGCGTTACTCACCTGAAGATGATATGCGACCGGTTATTATTTCTGTCTTTTGTTTCTTCGCAGCGTCGGAACCGGTCTGATCTGTTGTATGAGTCCGTGTAACCGCGCGGGCAGTGTCGAGGACACGCGTGAGACCAGATCATGCCCCATCAGCTGAGGTCGCGCCTCGAATTCAGACACACGATACCGTGAATGGAGGCTAAGCGAGTTCTTCCAGAAGACACCGACCTCATGGAGGCACGTTCACTGCTCAGCCACTTTGTGCGTCTCTGCTCTTTGGCACGACTTGATTTCGGGTCCGATAAATGCCTAACTGAATCGAGTCGAATTTGGGGATCAAACTGAACTCTCTTATTTGTCAAACCCCGCAGCACTCAGTCGGGGTGACGCGCGGTCGGGTGTGCGGCAGGCTATGATCCCACTACCTTGGATCTCCCTGCTGGACGTCGACCGCAGCAGCCTTACCAGCTTTGACGCGCTTGGTAAGCTTTGGTGTCGTGATTTTACCGACAACGAGTTCCTGTCCTTCATGATGCCAGAAAATTCATCGTGCCCAGAGGTAGATACGATAGCATCGGAATCCGGCAGTGGCGGCACGCACCGGCACAGGTCCACTGTACAGAGTTACTCCTCAATATATCAGAGACCTGTCACTGAATCGTCTCCGTCAAAGCTCTTTCCCAGGGCCAGCTTATTCTGCAAAGTAATCACTAGGGTGTTCTTCGGAATTCGAGCCAGCGGTTCGAGAGGTTGTCCTGGACAGGTGCCTACAGATTCGGCGCGTCGTACGGCGAGCGGCGTTCTCAATCGCCGCCTCTGAGATGCAGCGGACTTTTATCAGATGAAGCAAATAACCGTAAGTAGAAACATCATTTTCTAGCCATTTCAAAGCACAACCAACAACGCGCTTACGACAGTATCTATTGACGAGTCATATTGTGCCTGGAAACATTGGATGGAGGCCGCCAAGCCTTGAGAAACAGCCTCGTTTTTGTGGATCTGATGTATTGAAACTTGCATTCGCGTACAACGTGTCGTAAAACTCAGCCACGTGAATCAGAGAAACGGCCGTTGTCGGTGATGTGCGACAGCGATGCTATTTTCAATGTTTACAGGATTTGCAAACAAGTCGCAACACCAAAACACCACAGCTACTGGTGCATTTGCGAATGTTTCGCCAAGCCCTGGAGGAAGAATCATGAGACAGGCCCTTTTTCATGGGTTATATTCATGCACTCAAGTTGAAGTAGAACCGCGAACCAAATCAATCCCGCCAACGATCGTCCGCTGCTCTTGGGCGATCATTCAGATGACGGACCCTTTTGTCGAGAAAATGAGGAATCCGCTTACAGACGAAGACTCGCGACTTAGAAATATAGACGACGTCACTTCAGGTCTATTTGTTTAATTATTTCCCGTCATTCAGCAAGCCCCTGTTGGTCGCGTTATGTGATGGTGTTTGCTCACATTGATAGAACAAAAGTGAATACCGACTTTAATTGTGATAGAGCTCGATCAAAATGACAAAATGTTCACCACAACACAAGCAAACCAAGGTGATTCGCATGAGGACTCATCAGTTTCGCTTCAATGTACTCAAAACCTTCTCAATGAATGAATGGTGTCTGAAATAAATGTATAGTTTTCTTAGATTTTGGAATAGTGTCACTTAAAGATAAGATTTCAAACAAGATAGAAAGAGACCATACTCTAAGAATCAAAATTGGGATAGATAAGCTAACAGATATCTTCAATATCCTAAGCAGTATTACAAGCTATTAGCCTAGAATTAAATAATAAAGAGGTAGCAGGACATAATCACTCAGCAGTTACGTAATGAAGAGGTTCACGAGAGACGCCCTTTCTCTAACACAAGTTTCAAGTTCCCATCAAATCGTACTTCACACTGTTGAGTATGAGAACAAATGAACACGCAGAGTGATTACCGGAAGATACTATTATTTCTTAGCTGGGTAGACACAATTTCATTCCGTTAAAGGCTTTTTAGTAGCTACGTTCACAGGGTGCTCGTGGACGACTAATGTTGAGATCTAAATTGCACATTATTTCTCTGATAACGACTTTCTTGTATTACGTACATATTGAAAAGACTAGAAGAAACCGTTTTTATCGTTCACACAAATATCCTGGTTTCATTATACCCATCGCGGTACGCGCATTCTACGCCTCCACATTCGTGGATCGTTGGGTGTCTTGACTGAAGCATCTGAGTTGCTTCTCCTCACCTCCATATCGGGATCAATGATCCTTTTATTCTCTGAACTTTCATCAAGGTCATCTGCATTAGTAGCAGAAAACGTCAACCGAAACATCCAAGGCCAATATGTATGCGTCAACCACATGTTCTTGCGTATAGAGTCCATTTCTCTCAATAAAATCAACATCAGTGCGAAAACTAAGAAGAAGCCCCTTGAGATCTGCGCGTTGGGCAGGTGGGGTTCCACAGCATCTAAGCAATATTCGGTCAACAGCTGTGAGAGTATAAATCGGCCAATATAGACCAAGAATATCCTGGAGCTGCGCAAATGCCATCTCAAGACGCCCAGGATAAGAATAACAACAATTGAAAACTCCACGATAGTAGTGTGAGTTCTCAGTATGATGAAGAAAATGAGAATGAGTTTGCCATGTGGAACGTGGAGAGATGGTGCCTTGCTGTTTGGATTAAGCCTTGCAGAGAGGTTTCCGCAGAGAGACAGGAAAGCTTTCAGGAAGCGCAGGTTTGAGTCATCCAAGATCACCTCCATGATTTCTACATCGTATGTGAGGCTCTGATCGACGTGAAGGCGTAGATATAGTGCAAACCTTCGACTCCACAACCACTCAGATGGCCGCCAGGATCGTGTAGGTGAGAAAAAGCTCCAAGAATGGGCTATTTCAGCCTCGGGGTCATCGAGCTGAAGCTTTCTCATCTCTCCGGCCTCCAACAGTAGAAATTGGCGAGAAAGACCACCTTCATAATAGTGTCTTTGATCTTTCACGAGGATATAAAAGTGCCGTAAAGGAACATCGAGGGAGCCGTCTGCAATTATGTGGAAAACGGTCCACATCATCCCAGTAGGACTCGAGTTGAGGCGTCCGGATGTCGCAGACCAAGCCTCCCACGCCGCCATGGGTTGAACACTGTCTATGCAATATCCGGGTGGCAAAGAGCGAAGAATGAGGGGCTGTTCACCATAATAATCATCTTTGAGAAGAGGTTTTCCAGCGGATGTGTATTTCACCGGGTCGGGAAACATTGTGCCGGGTTGTAAATACAGTGTACGAGAAAAGGACCGTCGTGATGCCCAATCTCGACTGAAATAGCGGGCCGTCACATCGGTGCGAACGCATTTGTCTCCCTGAATTGTCACTGGAACAGCCATGATATTCCAGTAATCGGTCGATTTCCGACAATTGAGCCACGCATAAGGTTGCAAGACCATGAAGTCTTTCTGGTCTTTGTACAATGGGTTGATCTCGTAGTCATATACAATCGAAAGCTCTATGCGAATCCCGGCGTTGGTAGTGACGAAAGGACATGTGCGATTCAATGAGTTGCAGGTGACGATGTCGCCGCAATGCAAGAACCATGCCGGTGAATTTGCCAGCCAAAACGCAAAAACTTCAGGAAGTTCCAGCATGGAAAAACTGTGCCAATTTTCAGGTCCAGTGCGATCATATGAAGAAGCGTGCCATGCAAATATCGATTGGTCATCTGTGGTCCTGATGAGCTCTTCTTGAAGCCGAATAAACGCGTTGTATCCGCCCTCTCCGTATAACAGGGGAATGTGGACTCCGAAAATGCCAAGAAGGCTATACGCCCGATCTTCTTCCCTCGTCGTCTCTCGCTTGGCGGCCCATGACATTCGCGCTGCAATGGACGCAACGGAGAGATCCAAGCCCTCAAGATAGCTTTCGCCAACGCCAGTAATCTCTCTCAGGACCTGGCTCAAGCCCGACTTGGTGCCGAGGTGCGTCCATTCCCTGGAATAGAACTCCAGCCGCTTCGGTGCCAGGAGCTCCTGCAAAGTCCAGCCTCGGGTGAACCACCGACTGGTGGCGAACCAAGAACGCCCGTCCAAGGTTGTGTCTGATGGCACATCGGCCAGAAAGGCGTAGCAGACGACTGCCTCCTAATACCAGCGGAACATGGTGTTGATAGCCTCCGAGAGTTCGGCGCTGCTTGTTTTGTCGATGCAGCAAGTGTCGATCCATATCCATTCCAGCTTGTCGAGACAGGCTTGCCTGCAAGAATCGTGAAGTTTCGCGTAGCCCTGCTTTGTTGGAGCAGTCTGATTCTCCATGTCTTGAAAGGTAACCTCGCCATCTTCCCACGTGTGTGATAGTATGGCATATGGCGGTATGCGATCGGACAGAAAGAATTCGAGCTTGAGAGTTTCTGTATTCAAGAGACGCATACTGATTTTCTTGGGCACTTGGTTATCTCGTTACTGGGGGACAGGGAGGGGAGGAAGAAGGAGAGGACGCTTGGTCCGTTCAAAATATTTAAACATGAGATTGAAGCTAGTTCAATCATTCTAATCTGCGTAGTTGCGGTCTACCAAGGCAGATAGAAAGGCATCCATGAGGTGCGATCGCAGTCCTTGTTGCTCGGCGGCCCAACGACAGACCGCCATCTCTTCGATCAATCATTGGCCAAGGCCAGAAATTCAGATGTGACGCACATGGGTAGGTTGTCAACGATTGGCCCACGTAGTTTTTCCACTTGTTGGAAATCTCGTTATGAGCGTTCAAAAAGAAAGTACCATCGGTGAGTGCATTCACGCACGCTCGTCAGACTGGAAGAATCGGAGGCGGTTAGAAGGCCAGGACCATATCAGCAGAGCTCACTAAGATCCTACAGTAGAAGATGGCTGTCATCGCGGGCAGCTGCTTACATAGAAGCATCGTGAGGATGAGTAGAGCCCGCGAGATCTGACAAGTCCCGAAGAAAACATATGACGGTTCCCGTGGTCTCGACCCTCAATGCTTGATGAAAATTAGACACAACACAGTCTGACGGTCTTGTCAGATATGAGAGGCATTGAACGCCGCTCGCCGTAAACACTGTCGCATATCTACGGCCCTGCTTCGCATCGGTCCGAAACGACTGCAATGCTAACAATGAGGACAAGAATGACCACACGTCCATGTCGTTAGCTGTCTGGTACATCCTTATCATCGAAATAGAGTTGGCCTGGGAGCCCGGCATCTGAAGGTGCTGCAACCCTGCCAAGTGCCTCGAGCTTGGCTCCTTTGGGACTGGTTCCCAATATTGGTGCAAGACCGCACTCTCTCCTTCATCGTCGATGTATGCATACAAGACAATACCTGAGTGGTACTTGGCGGCACCCCCAATCCTGACGGCTCCTTTGGGCTGTGCCTCGACATCATCCACTGCGATAATCATTTCGTCACTGGCACAACATGGGCAGCGGGCAGGGGGAGGGATGAAGGCTGGCTCACTTTGGCTCGATGAGAAGCTGGAGCTTCCAGATTCGCAGCTATGTAGCCCGCTGAGGCTTCACCCACCACCTTGGTCTTGGACCCGAGGAGAAAGCGCGGGGTAACGAAACATTAGAAACGAGAAGCAGAGCGCGCGTGACCACGGGTACGCATGTGCTGACGGGCTCTGACTTCAGGGTCCACTGGGCAGCCCTGCACCGCGGCGCGGAGCCGGAGCTCCGGGAAGGATTGAAGGAGCGTCCCATGGTTCAGCAGAACTGCCTACTGCGTGCTACCAACACGAAAGATAAGAAACCGAGGGACACGCTGTGCGCTGGGAGAACAAATGGCAAAGTGGCCATTTGTCAACGTGGTTGGCGCCAGTGGCCCAAGCCATTTGGTTGTTAAGCTTTCTCGTGACACAGCGAAACGCATGGCTTTCGTGGGACAAGAAACAGTCCAGCTAGTCCTGGCCTGTCCGCCCAGACAAGCCATCTGCGTGGCCAAGGAACGGTTCACGGTTGTCGTGTTACTAGCGGGAGGGCTAATCTGGCAGGCCGGGAAAGCATCTGGCCAAGGACACCGTCGTGAGATGGGGCCATTATGGAGACCCGGAATTTGCGGGGAAGGTCGACAGCTTGAGCGCATCGAGGATGGTGATGGATGATGATCCTTGTGACGAGTCAGGTAGAAAGGTGGATAGTCCGGGGAAGAGGTCGAAGAAAGGGTTGGGCAAGTCAAAACTTGGCAGCGTCGGATGCCTTCAGATTGGTCTGTAGATGAAGGTGAGGGAGGGTCACACTCGTAACAAACGGGCTCTGTTGTTAGGTGTCGGACACTAACTGGCACACCAGCGTCCGCCATATTGTCTCCGAGGTGGTATCCAGGAAGCATGAAAACTCTGTGGCGAGTCGTGGAGTTGCGTCGACAGAAACAAGTACCCATAATGCTCACGGAGTCAATTGACTCGTTGGTGGACCAGTTGATCTGACCGATTGGTAATCTGTTTTGAGATTACTTTGGTCTGATGAAGGGGCCGGAGGGGCACAAGGACCTTTTGCTGGCCTCAACCTTTTGGCTGTTCACGACCATTGCCAGCGGCTGAAGGGGGGATGCGAGAGTTCGCCAATGTCTCTCTACCATGTATGCTGAGATGTTCTGCAGCGCCTTCTGTTCACACTGGGCCAACAGACAAAGAACGATTGGCGCGGCGTGCATGTCGCTGACGGACAGTTATCTATCTGGGGCAGCAATGTTTAGGGGGGCCATCTGCATGCCAAGGCTACGCTGTCACTCAGAGATGGCTCCAAGATCAAGAGCTAAGGCACCTAGCTGTCAATGGTGTCGGTACAGCAAAGATAGCGTGACCAGCGAGGACGAACGGCGACCTATCCGGTTCGTTGCGGAGGACAAGAGTGACAGACCAAGGTTGAAGTGTGTGAGGGCGCTAGTCAGAAAGGGCAATGGGAATCAAAATTCGCTGTCGAGAAGTCCAGGGTTGTGAAAAGCTTCGGAGAGGAATAAGCGGTCGACGGGGGCCCAGTGCCTCCTACACCTCTTCCGGGGTCTCATAAGTTAGCGCGGTAAGGGGGCCACTGTTTATGTCAGCACCCGAATATTCTGGTCACGTTAACAGTGGGACCCTGTCCGAACTAACATTTGAAACCCTGGAGGAGGTGTAGGGCCTTGAGCCAGACCGTCGAATAAAAGAGGGTTTCGTTTGAGCTCGAGTACTATGGTAAAGGGGGACTGGGATTGGCTGGTGGAGAAGGCGAAGCTCTCAATGACAAGAGTTTATCGCTTGGCTTTCATCCGGCCTGAGGTCAAGGTTCTTTTTCGAGGCTCGGGATGTTTGAGGTGGCCCAAAGATGAGCAGATGGTGTCGCTCGAGGATGGGCCCATGGTGGTGCAAAGTGGCGAGAGCGGCCATGCGATGGCATGCGAGATGGGACGCTTGTCTGTTCGCCGTGCAGTGCTCAAGTGCTCAGATGGGCGACTGCATTGAGTTTGGCATACGTCGAATGCGACGGTCTGCGTGGTGAACTTGGTACGAAGGGGAGCATCCAGTGCAGGCGCGTGGATGGATGTCTTTCAGGTGCAGCAACTGAGATGCATCGATGCGGCAGCAAGCCAGGCAAGGCAAAGTGTACGTACAGGAGATGGGAGAGATGGTATTGGCGGGTGCAACGCAACGCAGCAGGGGTGGTGGGGGGCGAGGGGACGGGGATGGGGATGGGGCAGGGGGTGGAAGGGGAAGGGGAAGCCAAGTGGGAGGAGGAAGGAAAGAACGTTGTGGTGGGAAGGAGGAGAGAGAGAAGGCAAGAGTCCACCTGCAAAGTGAAGGAAAGAGCGAGGGCTGCTCTTGCTGTGCTGCTGCCCACCTGCCCAAGCGCCCAACACATCAGGACCAGAGGCCGACTGAATGGATGTGGCATGGAAAGACATACCAAGCTATCTACGTAGTAAGACATGCAGAGGAGGAACAGGAGGACCAGGACCCCTTTCTCGTTCCATTCCGTCGCTTCCTGCTGGGGCCAATATGGTCTACCAACTTACGCAAGGCAGGATAGGATAGGCCGGGCAGGCAGGCGGCTTCGAGTTCCAAACGTCGCTCTTTCCTGAGATGATCTTACCCCGCATTTCATTCGGTCTTCTTATTCGCTCCTTCCTGGTGACGTCTTCAGCGGGGGTCTAGCTGGTTCCAAGTGCGTTTAGCGTCGTTTTCCGACAGTACGTATCCCGGCTCGCTGCCCCCCAAGGTGCCTTAACGGCAGGTCGTGATTGGCCGGTGAGTCCCTGAGCTCTGCAAGCTTGGGGCTAGGGACCTGCTGGGGCCTCTGCCGCTGCCGTAGCCTCCGCGCCAGCCCGCGCAGATGGCAACCCAGTCGGTCTTGCCTTTTTGGAGAGATTTTGGCGTCGTTCATTCCACTCTTCTCTCCACAGATTCCCGTCTCCATCGTCGAGGGCGTGCTGCGGTGCAGTGCAGTGCAGTGCAGGGCCAAACGGATGGGAGGTGCAGGGGCAGGCAGGAACCACCGACACGAGAGGGCAAGAGCGAGGGGAAAGGGCAGGAATAGACAGACAGGACAGGCAAGACAGGCAGAATAGCAAGCAGGAGCGAACATCAGTAGATCCCACGTCCATCAACGCGCCATGCCAGCCCACCGCTGAACCACCTTCCAGAGTCATCAACTTGGCCGAGTCCGCTTTCGATCCATCCTCCTGAACATCATCGCGATTCAGCACCCGACACTCTTCTCCACGACCGACGACTGCAACACATCACCAATCCACCCACCACAACCCGGGCAGTCCACATCCGCATCACATCCACATCCACTGGCAGTGCAGTCCTGTGCTGTGCCGCTCGATCACGCACTCAATCTGTCCTTCTCTCGCAGAACCCACTGCTATCTACAGATACGAATATCGCCTGTCGACTCAAGACCCAGATACTGTTGTATCCCACAGCAACCTTGTGCCGCTCTACCAAGTACCTACGGACCCCAGTCAACACCGGGGCTTCGCTCACTGAAGCCAAACGGCTTGTCAGGCGCTCAAACAGACGCCGCCGACCGACCGACACCAGGCCCGATTTGCCTCTCCCCCACACGCACCACCGCCCATCATCACTTGCCTGTCCTGGTTCACCAAACGGCATCCAGCATCCAGCAACAAGCCACGCCCAGCTCCCGGCGACACACCATCTCAGCCAAACCACCACAACCAGCCATCCCCCCCTTTTCACACGTCTCTGGACTGTACTGTATTGTACGCGCAAACACTCAGACCCTGCCCCCTACACCTTTCCAAAGATACACACAGACTGCCTGTCCCCCAAGCTCGACGTCACTTCAATTTAGAGCTTCCACCTGCTTACTGATTGTCCAAGAACACCGCTCAAAGACA